TAACCGATAACGTTGATACTGAGACCACGTTAGTATGACCAGATCACCGGACTGATAGAGAACATACCCAGTCATCTGCGTAAACACCTGAACAAGCGTAGCATGCATAAGCCTCTTCCGCCACACCGGAACAGTAAACATGACCTTCCATCCGGGCGCCGTAATCGCCTTCTCCGCATCAATAGTCAACTTGATCTCATTGAACTCGCTTTGGATCCAGTCGTCGTTGCTACCATTGTAGTGCAACTTGCGAAGCACCTTCAGCGCTTCGTCTGCGCGATCGATCTCGACCAGGTAACGCGGCGATTCAGGGAAAAACAGCATACCGCATATGATGATCAAGCAGGGTAAGCATTGGAAAGCGAGGGGGAAGCGCCAGGAGAAGGAGTTTGTTGCGGGTACTTTTGAGGCGCCGTAACCGATCCAGGTGGAGACGATGAAACCCACGCCGATCATTTGCTGCGTGAGTCCGGTGATTAGACCTGGGTCTAGTTAGTATTGGAAGGTTGAGTTGTTTTGATAGTACTGACCTCGCGTTTTGGGGTGGGCGCATTCGGTTTGGTAGATGGGTACAGACATGGACATTAGACCTACTGCCCATCCAGCCAGAATCCGTCCGACGAGTATCATAGCGAGGTCCTGAGCGGCGCATTGAAGTATAGCGCCAATCAGGTTGATGAGGGCTCCGATCATGATTGTCTTCCTGCGGCCGAACCTATCCATAGTAAAACCTCCCCTACTATGCGTCAGTACATGACAGATTCCCTACACAAGAGACATCCACGTACATCAGCGAACCGAAAAATGCTCCACCTGAAAACGTCGCATTGATGGCTCCTATAATCGGCGATGTCTTCTCTGTGTCGAAGAAGGCGAGGAAGTTGGGTGATTGGATGACAATGGTCATTACTCCGGAGTCATATCCGAAGAGGAAGCTGCCCGTGCCAGCGAAGACGGCAAGGGCAATGTTGAAGATGAGACCCATGGTTGCTACCTTGGCCGATCAGATCAGCGATGCTTGCACGGAAGACTGGAACTTGTGGGTGACAGTCCTTTTCAACGCGCTGTCGCTGCAGGTATATATTGCCCCGGGCAACTGGGTGCCCACGCCATCGACGCATGCTGGTCATGTTACATCTTCAGGCCAGCCTCGCGTAACAAGCATTTAACCGGAAGTTCGCGCCTAGTTTCCACGGTGCGATCCCGCATAGACTTTGAACATGTCTGTTGGCGGCCAAGTATTTGCTGATCTTGCTGCCATAAAACCCGGGGAACAAGTGGAAGGATGTTGGGGTACAGTAGCGTGCGGGGAGGCATGTTGAATTTCCGCCAATGAATGAAGCCCCCACTAGCTCGCTTCGCTGATGTAGGACCGTTGCAGCGGCTCTGCTTTACGCTCATGGCCGTTGAGACTTACTGAGAACAGGTGCGGGATGTATGACCCCTCGTGATGGCTGGATCGCCAGCCTATCCCAGCTTCGCGACCTTCCACTCTCCGCCTAGAAGGCCCATACCTTTGAGCTCACCATCAGCGCTGACCTCCAAGACACCCTTCTGATCACCCTTGGTATCCACCAAAGTCGCTTTGTCACCTTCCTTCACACCATAAAGTCTAACCTCACCACCGGTAGCGAGCCAGTCATAACCAAAGCCGCCTTCGCCCTCTGCTTGCCCGAGCACGAGAACAGTGCCTTCCCTAACAAACAACGGTAATTGGAGGAAGCTATACTTCTCTTTGATCCACCGGCCGCCCTGCATTTCTTTACCGTCCCAGAAGCTGAACCAACGACCTGGTGGCAGGTAGTAATCAACGCTACCGTCTTCCTCGAAGACCGGGGCAGCGAGAATCTGACTGCCAACAAAGAATTGGCGGTCCACATACCAGGATGTTGGGTCATCTGGAAACTCTAGAGCCGTCGCGCGGACACTGGTAGGCCAGCCATTAGCGACGCTCTCTTCCGCCTGCGCAAATAGATATGGCATGAGGCTGCGCTTGAGCTGCACCCAGTGTCGGAGGACCTCAGTGCAGTTTTCGGGCTCTTCTGATGAGTCGTCGACCAACCATGGTACGCGATACGAATTCGAGCCATGGAGTCGACTGTGCGAATTGAGCAGACCAAATGCAACCCAGCGCTTATAGATCCAGGGTGGCGGTTTGCCCTCAAAGCCACCAATGTCGCTCGTCCAGAACGCGAAGGATGCAAGCCCAAGGCTCAGGCCACCACGCACTGACTCAGAAAGCGCAGCGGGTGTTGACTCGCAGTCGCCGCCCCAATGAAGTGGAAAGCGTTGCGATCCTGCGCATGCTGTGCGCGCGAACAGTATGGCTTCGTGCTCACCCTCCCGCTTTTGAACTGCCTCGTAGACAAGTTTGTTGTAGATGAAGGCGTAGTAGTTGTGCATGCGGCTTGGATCCACGCTCTTGTCGTGCCATTGGACGTTCTTCGTTGGTATGCGCTCACCAAAGTCCGTTTTGATGGAGCTGACACCCACGTCGAAGAGCTTCTCCATGCACTCCCGGAACCAGTCGCAAGCTTCAGGGTTTGTAAAATCCACGATACCCATGCCAGTCTGCCAGAGGTCCCACTGCCACACGTCTCCGTTCGTCTTCTTGAGCAGATAGCCTTTCTCAGCCGCATAATTGAACACAGGACTTGCTTGGCCGATGTAAGGATTAGTCCAGACACTGACTTTGTTAATGAGTCCATCATCTTTCATGCGTTTGATCTGACCAGCAGGGTCGGAGAAGCTCTCTGGATCCCAGATAAAGTCGCACCAGTGGAAAGCGCGCAGCCAAAAGCAGTCGAAATGGAATACTTCGACTGGTATCTTGGAATCTGACATCTTTTCAACGAAGTGGCGGACGGTCTGCTCATCGTAGGAAGTCGTAAATGATGTGCTGAGCCAGAGGCCGTATGACCACGCCGGAACCCTATTCGACTTGCCAGTAAGAATGGAGTACTTGGTAAGTACTTCTTTGGGGCTTGGTCCATAAATGAGATACCTTGGAAGTTAGCCAGGAGATCAATCGAGTTACTCGCGATGCTCACCATTTCAAGCGTTGCCCTTCAACTGTAGTCTGCAATCTTGAGCATCGTTCGCTACCAATCTCCATATCAATCTTATCGGGTGTGTCGATAAAGACGCCGTAACCCCTTGAGCTGAGCCAGAACGATACGTTCTTGTAAGCCTGCTCGCTAGACGTACCTCCGTCTTCGTTCCAAACTTCAACATTTTGACCAATCTTGTTCCATGCACCAAAACGTTCACCTAAACCGTGGATAGTCTCGCCGACACTGAGTTCGGTCTGAGTAAACATGTAATGTTTATGTGCAGCGAGATCCTCCACACTCTCGGGGGTGCTGAGGGCGGGTGAGTACGCTAGTCCGACGCTCCGGTGGAGAAGAGAAGTCAATGTTTTAGATTCGTCAGTGGCATGGAATTTGATGTCGAAGGTATGCTCATCAGAGCTAATGGTCGCGCTTAGTCCCCCTGAAGTGACCGTGGTCCCTTTCTTTTGCTTCAAGATCTCGCCTTTGCACTTCGGCTTGCCTGCCGGGTACAAGTCAAAGTCTGGTCCCATTCGCCTGGCACCAGCGAAGTGTGTCGCTTCGAGAGAGATGACGCCGTCGAACTGGGCTTCGATCTCGACGGATATGGTGCTCAGATTCAAGGTATCGCCTCTGGTGAAGATCTTCCTGCTAGGACATAACAAAGTGACCGCCTTGTTGTCTTCCCGAGGCGTGACAGTATAGACTTCTTCAGCATGCTGAACTGTGAACTGGTCATTGACCAGCCACATACCTGTACGATCATTAGCGGCAACATTTCACAGGCTGCGAGGCTCATACCATCACGAAACTTCATGTTTGCGTCGTCTTCGAATGTAGGCGCTCACGACAAAGTATAGGACAGTCCGACGATGATGTCGTGATTGACGTCTGATGTTCTTCTCTCGACATTCCATACTATCAGGAACCATATTGGCGTTCGGATATGCGGTCCGTCCCGTTGGCGATGCTTGGAGCATACGGTTCTGTATGGACGGACACTTCGGTGTAAGATTGCCCGACGCTCCTTGCGCTGCGGGGTACCGCTCGAGACGCTGCAATGATCAACATTGCTATGCGAAAATCAAAAATCCCGCTCGCAAAAGGCCATCGCCTCAGAGAAATGGTTCCGAGTGAGCACCGATCTTGTTATTAGCCGACTTCTCGAACATACAAGGGTCATGGAGCTTTTGCCCTTGCCAGCTATAAGGACTCCGGTCCTGCAGCGCTTACACGGCACTTTCTTGACCATCACCTGAGCATGCCCATGAACAGTGCGCGTCGGGATAGTTTCCCTCACTGATTCGTGTGCAGACTCAAAAAGACAGTTCCGACGATACCTTCTGCAAGGGGTGTTGTAGTTCACGTGAAGGGGTAGTCGCGACGCCCCGCATCAACAACCAGCCACTGAGATGACGGGAGGGCGTTTCACCAGTGTGGCATCCCGCGCACTTCCTTGGTATACCTATTGCCTTACGCGGCACAGTGTGAAAGCTGCACGTATATCAACAGCCACACTTCAGCATGGGAAGTCGAAAGTAAGGGGAACATCGCAAAGCGAATGAGGACGGGACCCTGCTGCCGGAAATGGCTCCGGCGCGAAACGTTGTCCACCGACCCACAACCCACCCTTCCCAACAGGGCGCAACGTTGTCGCAATCGCCGAATTCGTCTTGTTATCCGTGCAAGGCTTCGACACGGTCAAGGTGTGTTGTAGTCCCACCCATAGGGCATCGTTGTCCATTGAAGATAAGCAGATCTCATCTAGCTCCTGAGAAGCCGTGTGTGATTTGTTGACTCGGACAAGCCCCAAGCCGCTTCTTCTCTGCCATAAACTTCAGCTTTTCTATTATCCACAGCATTCTACTACCACACGCACCTTAACCTCTTTCTGTTATAACTGTCGAATCGAAAAGCAAAGATTTGCTGCCGACACTACGAACCGACACCATGACGGTATCAGTTCTTTGTTTCTATTCCCGTCGCCCAGAAGTCACCCCGGAGCATTTCCAGTCGTACATGGAGGAAACTCATCTGCCTTTGATCAAGGAGGTCTTCGAGATGCATCCCCCGCAGTCTTACAGGTTGCGCTATGTAATACGCGTCAAGACTGGGGCCGGAGACCGACTGGGTGCTGTCACATCAAGCAGAGCAAAAGCGGATCCTGATGCGCCAGTTGTACTTGTCGGGTCTCCTCAGGATATGGATTGGGATGCAGTAGGAGAGATGGTGTTTCGGGATGAGCTGCACATCCAGCAGTGTCTTTCCGTAATGAATGGCCCCGGTGGGCAGCGAATAAAGGAGGACGAGGAAACTATTGCGATACCGGAGAAGACCCGGGTAATATTAACGGCTGGGGACAACCTTTTCATCTGAGCCGGGCACGCGCAGGCGCACTTCAAGGGAGGACAGTACTATCTAAGGTACGTCTTCGAGACAGTTCTGCTTGCGAATACACTGACATCGATAAATCAGGGTAGATCGACGAGCAAGAGGACAAACGCCACCGGGTGGCGTCCGAGGAATAAGGGGTCCTCCAAAAGCATGGAAATTTATTGAAACCGAGATCGCACAATGTTCCCGTTTGTGCCATCTACGTGGGAAAAGTGTACGACAACTAGGACGCCGACGGAGAGGCATATGCGATACCATAGACAGTTGCAGTCTGATAGAGAATGACTATCAATTTCGAAAGCCAGGGAGTTGCAAATGAGCTACGTTCGCTACACTTGTGGACGGCTGGCTGTTCCGGGAATCTGAACGATACGCCATCAATGCGCTTGACGAAACTTTGCGACGCGTCGGGATCTGCACGCCCAGCGACGCGTACGCGGAAGCTCAACATAACGATCGAGGTTTCCAGATTGTGAGAGGCGAGATTAGATCATTGGCGTGTACAACAGAACAGGCGGACAATGTGGTGCGAGGATGAATGCAGGAGGGGTCAATGAGCGGACTTGAACAGTCGATGTTGCAGCGACAGTACCTAGGCAGGTGCAGAACACGCTAGGTCGCATCACGTGACTCTGTCGTCATCGATCAATTTCCTGTGGCCCAGCGCAGCGCAGCCGCTTCTTACAGTGAAGTTCCTTCCACAGCTTCAAGAGACCGACAACGGAGTTTGCATGCAAGGTCAACACACGAGTGCAACCTGCATTGGATCCAGAGCACCCGCGTTGCATCGAGTGCTGAGAGGCAAGGCGTACACAAGCCGTTCAGGGCTGTCGCGGATTGGATACCCCCAGGGCTACTATCCATTACTGCAGATTCACCGCCTCCGACAGCCGTGTATAATAGAAAGCCTATTACTTTAAGTTTTGCTACTGCTGCTAGGTGCTTCGCAAGCTAGCTACGACGCTCCAGGTCGTTGCGCCATTACCTAGGTCTCCCGTTACGGAACGGCTCGGTTTCTCTCCGTGGGTCTTTTTCCGAACCAATATGATAATGTTTCAATACACAGTGGATATCGCAACAGCGCAATGTGGTCATCGGCAACATCTTTGCGAAGCCAGCATTGTATGCCAGATTACTAAATGGCGCTGCTATGAGGTAGGTTACAGCATGCACATGAGTAATGTGCGTTTGTATTGCCACAACGCACACTAGCAATGCCCATCAAACCCGAGGGCTCCATTTGCTGCAACCCGATATCTTCAGGCCTCACTCAATTCGCCAAGGTGTCCCGCACGCAAGTTTTGCTCGCGCACCCACACGCATGACATGGCTAGGCTGATTCTCCTTCCCTTGTCTCACCGCAAGGTCATGATTGGCGAGGAACGGGATCGGGCCGTAACCACGACTCAGCAGTCGAGACCTCTCTGGCCAAAGACGATCATGGGATGGCACCGGTCAGCGGCGCGCAGATATCGATGAAAATCTTCGCAATACCTTGCATCCAATAACGAGACTACGGAGCCGCGCAAACTCTGGGTCATGATGGGTCTCAGGATAAAGGGGAAGTGTGGTTTCAGTGGATGTAACCTCTCCATATACTGAGCTATCTAAGGCGAACGCCTATACATGATCCAGGGTCCAAGAACTATCGGACCAGCAGATACGCTAATTCGCCGGCATTCAACGGCGAGTCTATCGGGGAAGCTGGGTCGCTGCAGGCATCGTGTTCGGCCCTGTAAGCCCGGACTGCTCTGATGGGACGACGTTCGACTCCGGTATAGTGATCAAGTACGAAGGAGGCAGACCAAACTAGGCATGGATGCTAATTCTCGACGTCGTTCGCGGTGCCCATCACTCCTTCTAGACTTTTCTCGGTACTTTCCCACTCCCTCCTCACCGCATCCAACACCCATGGTCCTCGAGGCTTCAGACGGAACCTAAATGGCCTTGGCTCAGTCATGAAGCCAACGACTATCATTTGCCATGGATCCACCTCTTCTCCCTGTATGGCTTCCACATCAAACGCCCATAGCAGATTTGCGATATTCATGAATGTTCCGTCAGTAGCGACACGCTTTCCTTGACATATCCTTCGACCTTGGCCAAACACAGGGAGTGGCAGATCACCGCGGACCTTCCCATCACGCAACCAGCGCTCAGGAACAAATTCCTGTGCATCACCAAGCGAAGGATCGAAGACTGCCTCGTCGCGGCCGATGGCCCACGCGTTCGCCATGATGGTCACACCCTTGGCAATCTTCACGCCAGCGAACTCATCCGCGCGATCAGCACGGCGCGGAATAGAACCAGGAGATATGGGTCGCCATCTGAATAATTCATGTGCTATAGCGTCAACGTAGGCGAGGTCGTGCCGGTCTGAGAATGTAGGAAGACGCTCTCTGCCAACGACTTTGTCTAGTACTTCATGCGCACGGGTCATAATCTCGGGATTGTGCATTGCTGCGACAAAGAGCCAGAGAATCTGACGAGGGGACGTTTCCATGCCACCCTGAATAGATGTCGCGAGTGTGAAGGCAAGGTCAAGATCGGATACTGGCGAGTCGGTGGGAGCATATTTTGGTGCGGATGCGATTGCTTGCTTTGTCGCGTTCCAGCCTGGCGCATCTCTGCCATGGCGGAAGAGGCGCATGTAGAGCTTAACCTGAGCCGCGTAAAGCTTGTCAGCATACTGCTGCCATGGGGAGATAAGAGTAGGCAAGTGTCGAAGGACTGGCATAAGATCCGGGAGCTGCGGATTCGCGGCCAGATGTGTGACCTTCGCTTGGATTGCAATGACTTCGTGCAGGATTGGCTCTTCGAACTTGGGTATGCGGAGACCGTAATGGAGGGCAAGGATGACACTGGACTGGGTCCGCTCGAGCAGAGGATATATCGTCTTCGTGGTGATTGTGGAACCATCTTTAGACTTCTCCAAGGCAGCGATGAGATCGAAGAGCAGTTGCTTAGATTCGAGTTCCATAAGAGGCTGATACTTGCTTGCCGCCGGCGCACCAAGACTTGGTGAAAGAATGCGGTGGTGTAGTTTAAGGTGATCGTCATAGTCGTGCATCAGCGTGAATCGAGAACGACCTGGCCCAGCCCCAGTGATCATCTCCATGCTCACTGAGGCCGGTCGGTTGCTGTACCATTGGCTACGACGACTGAAAAGTTCAGTGACGGCCTCGTACGAGTTGAGCACGACAATGGGCACAATTCCAAACAGTTTCGGAACTGTAATCGGGCCGTGTTGTTTGGACCAGGCGCTCCAGTTTACCAATGGTTTCTCGATTGGCGAGCTGTGGAGATCACCAATGAGCGGCAGCTTGAGGAGGGGCTTCTCGGATGCATCTCTGCTCTTGTTGGTGTAAAGGTAAAGTGCGGTCAGGGCACTCACGGCCAGAAGGACGGTCACGACAAGGCTGGACATGGCTGGAGGAGCAACCCACGAAGGCTGTGGGCGACACAACCACTTGTAGGTGTCCAGAATGGCGGATACGTGCATGCACGGCATTACTCAAGTGGATTGTTCCTGGAGCCATGTCCAAAACGAGTTAGCCCAGCCGGCACTTGGCAACAACGGCCACCTTTCGCGTATGAAGCCCCGAAATCGTGATAACAGCTTGTTCGGATCTGGACGGCAGTGTCTCGGCGCCATGCCCTTGTATTGCGCGTGATGGGCTCTTCTTCTTGCGACTAGACTCCCATCACAGCTGCCGCCATCACTGGCGTGATCAAAATCGGAAGACCCGAAACGTTCCCCGGACAGCATCGCATTGCACATAAACCAAGCGCTGCGTGTGCGCGTGGGCTGAGAGGCTCTGATATAGATCTGCTCGGGTATGCATGGCGAAACCGTTCGCGTCGCGGCACACGCTTTTTCCGGTTTTTACACGGTAGCCCGCCCTCTCTAGAGCCTAAAGTAGAGCTCCTAACTCTAAGTTTGACAGTTAGACTATTTTCGCGCTAAAATTACCCTTAACATATAACCTAACGCATAGCCTACCCTACTAAAGTTTACTAGTAGTCTTATATTATTACTAATAATTATAGTATATAATATAGTATTATTACTAATACTTATATATAGAAATAATATATTATTATAAATATTATAGTACTATTCTTATATTACGCATAATTTTTTTAATATTTTAGGCTATATTAGAGCACTTTTAGCGCGTTCTAAATATTATTTTTTATCTTTTCTATAAAATAATTACTTATAGATATTATTTTATATAATATATATATAATAATAATATTATTTATAAGCTCTTTTATAATTTTATATATATATAAAGAGACTATTAAACCTTAGAATAATATAGTCTTTCTAAAGAGTAAAATTTATATATAAAAATATTAGAAGCTTATTTTAAATATAAATTTAATAGTTTTTAATATATAGAATTATAGTTTAAACTATTTTATTACTTAAAACGTTATAGCGCTAACGTTTTAGAGGTATATTAATATTCTAGATATATAGACTTTTCTTAATATAGACTTAGCGCTAATAAGTAATCTTTAGAAATAATTATAGTAACGTTATCTATAATCTAACTATTTTTTACTATATTCTTAGTATCTATATTCTATAGTTAAGGTTATTTCTAATATTTCTAATACTTTTTAGCTATTATTAGTATGTATATACCTTTTAATCTTATTCTACTCTTACTATATAATATAAAGTTATTATACTTAACACTACTAAGCTACTTCTTTACTATATTAGTATTATTCTAGTTAATATTTACTTTTTTTCTCTTAATTAGTGCTAATAAAGGCTTTAATATAAGTATTTATAGCTATTTTTTAATATCTTAAATAATCTTACTATATTTATCTTATATACTATATATCTTATATACTTACTCTTAACTTAAGTCTTTTATCTTATCTATATACGTCTATAATAATATAGATTAGTAAAGGTAATATAAAGTATTATCTTAGATATATCTTATACTAATAGTAGT